TTCTCTTCAAATTGTATGTTTTGCCTTTTGATATATCTTGTACTGATTTAAAAGGAACTTCTATAAATAGGACTTTAGTTATGTGGTATTGAGGTGTGAGCATGTAGAAGACATGGTCTGTATTTCTGTGATTAAATCTCAATCTCAGTGATCCTGTGCCTCTGGACTGCCAGTTTAACAATTTACCCCTTTAGATGGGACAGGATGACCAGGTGGGTTGGTTGGGTGTTTCCCTTCCCTAGCTTGGTTAGTCTCTGATAATACCCTTATAGATTAGGCTTTCATTAACTAGTTTCCCCTGAGGGCAGGCCTTCTTAACAAGTCCAGGAGGATTTTCTCCAATATTTACTCCAATATTTCCTTCTGAAATTCCTAACTTTCAGTTTTGCAGAGCCTCCAGCAATCTTTCAACTATGGTGCAGATTTTCCTAGCCAGGCACTGGTTCCTATAGCAACTTTGTTCCTTAGTCCCTGCTCTAGGAAGATGGGTTCTCTGTATCTTCCTTTTTGTCTATTAACTTAAAGGAGCAACAGTTTTCCTTTTGTCCTTTTTTCTGGATGCAGGAAGAATTGTTGAATTTTTGTCTGTTAACTTGCGTCTAGTTTTTAGGACAGAGTGGCAGCTTTCAAACTCCTTACATTTGGAGCCAGAAATGAGAAGTTAGTACATTGAAATGTGAACCTGCTTTTCTGGCTTCTTGCATGATATATGATGAAGGTTACCATTAATATTTTTTTTTAATTACAAGGTACCTTACGTTTAGCAGATTCATGTAGGCTTTATCATTTTTGACAATCCTTGTGTAGATATGAAGCCCATGGTGTTACTGCAGTTTTACACTTTTATTTGAGAAAGTTTTAATCTACAAGTAGAGAATGGACACAGGAAGCATTGAATTAGTTTGGGGGGACAAAGAAAGGTAAATGAGTGGCTGTTGTTACAATTCAGTCGATCATATAGCCTCACACCAAGATATAGCTTCTCACCAGACATGAAGCCTCTTTCAGCCTGAGCTCTGTTGCATACTTCTGATAAAAACTGAAATAATTATATTGTCTGGAAAGTTGTACTGCTTAAAGTACCCCCTGGGGACCTTTAGCTTTGTCTGAAAGGAAGTTTAAACATGTATATAAGAGAAATCATCAATGTTTCCTGGCCTTGGAACATGAAATAGAAAAGCAATTTAGGAAATACCTATAGGATAGAGATCTGCAGATGTTTAGCTTTTCAGAAATTCAGAAGTTTTACTGGGTTTGCCTGCTACCTCATCTTTTCACCCCCAACTGCAACCCACATGGACTGCAGAACTCAGCATGTGGTTCCTTTGTTGTAGCCTCTGATCTCTGTGGACTTTACCTTGGGATTAATGATGAGGTTTACTTGAAGGTACCTTGAACAGTTCTGGGAGATATGTTTGCCACACTTGCCATGCTTTGGCCACCCTCGTTATAAGTTCATCACACAACTTGTTTAACATGTTTACTTTTTAAACCCTTGGAGAATTAACAGGTGGTTGCATGACTGAGATGTTTGTTTTAACAGGCGAAAAAGTGGGAGGTAATTTAGACACACTCTATGATGCAATAGGAAAATACCTAATTATTTCATTTTTGGCTCAGCTTTTAGTTTCAGTTAAATCTGCTGATAGCAAGGCTCGACAAGTTTTGTAGCTTTGTACTCTTAACATTGTCTACAAGTGAAAAACTGGCTCGCTAGTGATAGTGGCTAGGCTTCAGTTAATTGTACAGAAAGCATTTGACTTTAGTGCTAAAAGTAAGTAAAGCATTCCTTCTCAATTTCTGTCATCAGCAGTTATAATGTGAATGCAGGAGGCTCTGTAAGTCCTATATCTATCTCTATATGCTCTAGAAACCAACTTATAATATTCTCTGAACATAGAATGCACATAACGTGAAATCCCCAAAGCAAAGTAACTAATTGTTTGGATTTTTGTTTGTTTGTTTGTTGCCTGGCACATTCATTCTGTTATTTCAGGAGATAGGTTATGATTGGTTCTTGAACTATCTTAATTGAGGGTATAGAAGCTACAAGGAATTTTATTGGGTAATTGCTTGTTTGGTTTATTGTTAAGAGATTGTTTTCAGACATGTTGAAAGACAGAAATTCAGCATTAGGGATGCCTGGATTTTTCTGTAAAGGGCCACAAAATAAAACTTTAAGATAATGGGCTACACAGTCTTTGAGGTAGGTAGTCACTCAGTTATGCTGTTGTAGCATGGAAGCGGTCATAGATGACACATAAGCAAATGAATGTAACTGTGTTTCCATGAAACTTTATGGGTAAAATCAGATGGTGGGCTATTTGGCCGTGGGTCATCTGGATCCTAAAATATACAGCCTCTGTGCTCTATGACTCAGGCCTCATGGGGAAAAGCAGTAGTTTTCAGTTTAGTGGACTAATACATACATCCTCCAGTAGTCATAACCAAGACTTCACCATATATGTGTATAATAAATTCATTCTTAGGGAAAAAAAGGGTGTTCTTTCCTCACTGGCTTCTTTGGGGCTAATCTGAGTGGTGCTATTTATTTATCTTTGTACCTACCATTTATACTTTGTACCTACCATTTAAACTATATTTTCAAAATAGTTTGAGGTAGCTTATAATAAAACGGGATATGTAGTTTTTTGCTATTGGAGATAGTGAATCAGATATAAAATCAAAACCTACATGAAAAGGTCACTCTGAGCAACCTCTGAATATTCCTTATCTACCTGCAATTCAAGAATGCTCAACCATTTCTGGCCCTGATCATTCCTTCTGGTATCTCCTAACTTGAATACTAATATGGTATCTATTTTTATCTTCTCTAGTATGGTTTCCTTTTTGAGAAAGAAAGTCTCCAGTGCATTACATTAAGTCTTCTGCCAAAGGGAGTATTAGTATCCATCATCTTTCTCCTGCTTAAAGTATAAGCCAAGAGCTGTTACACCAACTAAGTGGGTATATGGAAAGGGAAGAGAAAATTATAAACTAATGAAAACTTTGGTGGGCAAGTGACCTGTTCAGAACAGACTTCAAGGCTCATAGAGACAAGAGAGTGTTTTCAAACCATTAAAGATACATCTTCACACTGGAGAAAAAATGTTAAAGTAGAATTCAGTGGTCAGGAGCACAGTTGAGAGAAGGCCAGAGGAGCTGGGACTTCAGTGGGACAAGGAGGGTTGACTTAGGATGACAAGGAGGGATGACTTAGGTTAGGTGTCTGAATGTAGAAACAGGCAGAGTGACTTTAAAAATTGCCAAGTGGAGTTGTGGCTTGAACGACAGTTTGGAAACTAGGGAAATGAGGAGTATGTACAAATGATTCTACTGCGAAGTCTTGAATAACCTCAAATCCAACTACTTAGCCATTTGGCTGCAGAAGATCACATAGAACTGAGGCAGAGGGATTTACTTAGATCTCTGATGTTGAGATATGCTCACTTGGACACTGGTGTTTTAGGAGGAAATACTTCCCTACAAAACATGGATGCCAGGCAAGGATTCATTCATATGTGAAATAGGAGCTATTAGAAGAATTATCAACATCAAACAAATGTTGATTCATCTGATAGTAGATGAATTAACACTATCAGAGTAGAAGCAGAAGCAAGAAAAGGGAAGTAGTAAGGACAGAAAGGTACTCCTGAGACAGAATTTTGGACGTGGTAGGTTGCAGCCTATGTGATATATAGGAAATAAATTCTGTAACTGCTTGGAAGATTTCCAGTATTTGTTTTTAAAATGTTTTATCTGTTCTGTAAATTTAGAAATGCTCTAACCTTTAAATAAAAAGAAATCCCTAACAATTTCCAAATTAAACTGTAATCCCTTCTCTTCATTCATTTTTGGTGAGAGGGCAAATAGATACCATGTATGGGGGAAGGGCAACTTGGAGGATCTTTATATTAAAATCATCATCATATTAAAAAACAAATGATATTCTAGAAATTCGGATTTCAGAACTTATTGGATTTCGTATCTTAATATATAGTCATTTAAGTTTGACAAGAATAAGATTGTAAAGTAGAAAAAAGTTAATTTCAAAACGGTATATAGAATGTTCACTTTCATTTGAAAGTTATAGTAACTAGTAGTGTGTTAATATAAATGCATAGGACATCTGGAAGTTTCCATAAAATTGTTCATGCTGATTGTGATGGGTTGACAGAACTCAATGAATCAGTAAACAAGCTGCTGCTATAGACAATTATAACAAAAGAACCCCACACATTTTTAATGTCACAGACTTTGGGGAGTATGAGGTAGAAATGCAGCTCAAGTAGTGCCTGGGTTCAGAATCCTTCACTAGAGGGAAGGGCTTTCTCTTTTCATAACTATCTCCTAACTACATGTCATAATCACAATTCTGTTAGTTATATCCCTGGCATATCAGGCATATTCATCTATTAATTATGCAAATATTTTTTCAATCCCTGCTATGTGTGAGATACCAGGCAGAGTACTGGAGTACAGAGGTGGCTTCACCATTGCAAACTCAGACACAGACTGACCAGGACCTGGAGGGAGTATAGTGTTGAAATAGATGCTTGCTAGTGGTACCCAGAATAAGAGCAGCTGGTATTACCATAAACTGATTGTTTCCAAAATGTGTCTCAATTTTCCTTCTGTTTAGTTTTTTGTATTATAGTTTTCTTGAGTTTTGCATTCAGAGTTTCTGATGAGAGTATTTTCATTAGGAAACCTCTGGGATGGCACTGCCTGGCTGATCTGTGACCCCGACCCACCTAACCGTCAAGAGGTTTTGTTTTCTAATTGCATCCATGTGTCCCAGATTCACACTGTAGCCTCTTAGGAAACACAGAGAAAGACTCTGGTCCTACAATTCTATTATGCATGGAACAATAGTGTTAACCAATAGTAACTGAATAAAAATATTCAAAAAAAAACTAGTGTTTTGACATAGAGAGCTATATACGTACATGTATGTTTTTGCCACCTGTCAACTCAAATTTTTGTATTTTCCTTCACAGAAAAAGCAAAGAACAAAAGATCTTTCTCGGGTATTTCATTCTTACAATCCCTATGATCATAAGGTAAGAGAATCATTTATTAGTGTACTAATATAGCATATGCTAGTTATGTTAGTATATATATATGTCACATATATATATATATATATATATAGAGAGAGAGAGAGAGAGAGAGAGAGATGATTTTCACCAGCAGTGATTACAATGTACACTACCAGTTACATTTATATTTTCAGTTTTCAGTTTTTTGTCTTTTTAAAAAAAATGTTTTATTTGTGAGCAATAATAATTCTGTATTATTCACATTAAAATCTAGTTGCATGTCACTGAAATCGCAGAGATTGTGAAAAGACAGATTTGGGAATGTTTTATTTACTTGGTTTTTTCCTTTGCAAATACTGTAGTGTAAGGAACTTGGCCTTTGAATTAGTAAAGTTAATTGAAATATTAATTGCCAACTCTTGGTTCTCCATTGCTTCTGATGGAAGATTATTTTTCTAACTGAAAACCTTAACTGAAAACAATACCTCATATAGCATCTGAAATATTCACTGCCAAGAGTTTAGCTACATTGAAAACCAAATAGTGTGCGGACCCCTGTGTCTCTCTGCCATAGCTTTGTAGAACCGCGGTCAGTCTTGTTTCATTTATATCCCGCACTGTGCACTCAGTGTGTTTGAAAAATCCCTACACATCTCTTCATTTCTAAGTATTGCACCATATATTTGTAAAGGACAAGAATTCTTGAAAACATGTACACATGCAAGCATTTTTTAAAAAAAGTTCTCAGCACCATGTCATCATGGTGAAATACACTACAGGATTTCTGAGACGTGTGCAAAACTTCTAAACCATGTAAGCTTCCAATAAATCTGTTAATTTGAGGTGATTTCAGAAGCAAACAAAAAATTTGCACAGTTGAAATGCTAATATAAACTTAAATCTTTATCTATGAATTTACAGGAAGACATGTGGTAGGAATTTTTTAACTAGCCAAAATAAGTAGTGTGAAAACTAGTTTCCTCAGTTGAGAATACGGAGATGTCTGGATTCAGGAGGAAAAGATTGTGCCAGTTGTTCATAGAAGTTGAAAGAATTTGAATAGCTTCTAGTGTTTCTATGGTGACCAGTTAACTTAAGCATCAAAAATTTGTAAAAGGGTTGCTTATGCTCCACGTGACCATGGTGATGTACTGTACCAGAAATTATGTCACTGCAAGCTAATATTTTTTAGGTTAATCCAATCATTTTGCAAAATATGCCAATTTCTTTGAAAGAGGTTGAGGGAGCCAGTAGTGTCTGACGATGCAGATGAAAAGTGCAGGCAGAGAAATATACACAGCAAAAGGAATGAGATTGGCCTTATTTCTGATGGGAAAATTGTGGGGTTTTGTTTGTTTTTCAGTTGAAACCATTTAACATAAATTTAACAGTGGCTAAAGTTAACATTTAACAATAGCAACAGCAAAAAAGACCTTGACAAATCAAAGCTTTTGCCTGACTTGTCTAAATGCTGCCCACTTCTAACGTTTTTAAATTCACAGTTAAGGGAAATTCCATTATTCTTTTATTAGAACTCTTAATGGAACTTAGCCATTTGCAGTTTCTACCGGCTTCCTCTTCATATCCTTTGTGGCATTGTATCAAAGTCACCTCAAATTATTTTGGCTTCCCTTGTAAAGACATCATTCCTTTACAAATTAGTCATCAGGCAGTAAGGAATGGAATATAAATGCTAGATGGAGTTCCTTTTGATCTTTGCTTTAAGATCGGTAATAAATTATTATAAGTAGCTGGACTGTTGAGGAGTGATTTTTGAAACTCACAAGGTTTGGCCTGTTGACATTCTGTTTTACTGTGTGTGTGTGTAGTGATGGAAAGGGGATAGTTTCCTTCCAGGCAGCTCCTGGCCCCTTAGTAGCCTCTTCCCATTTGCCCAAGCTCCCTCCAGGCAAGTCTACCCACGTTACTTTAATCTTGTCTCATGTTGATTAGAGTGTCCACAAAGACTAGAATCACAGGGATTGAGTAACCCGTGCTGTTTCTCCAATCTTAGAATGTTTCTTTTCCCCACATAAACAAAATAATAGAGGGTTGCGATTCAAGTTACTTTGTTGTTTTAATTATCCAATTATACTCCAACAAATTAGTTTTCTAGAAAGATAGGTCTTAGCGTAAAGCATTTTATAAAATGTGCGTAAAGTTATTTTAAACATCTCATACTCAGTAAGATTTCTTCAGTGATCTGTAGGGAAACATATACATATATCATAAATGGAAGTTTATGTGAAATAGAATCTAGGCCTTTAGAATTGCATGGGGTACAATAAAATAAATTGGCCATGTGCTGATGACTATTGAAATTGAATGATGGTTTTGCTGGGGGTTCATCATCTGTGTGTGTGTGTGTGTGTGTGTGTGTGTGTATTTCTATATGCTTGAAATTTTCTATTTAAAAGAAGATGCAGAAAGTAAAATAAACTATCGTCTACTCCTGTGAATGAATGTTGTATTATTCTTTTCCTCTGTAGCTAGGTTCCTTTTATTGTTAATTTTTCCCTTAAATTTATACTGAGGAAAAATATTCAGCATTTCAGTATATTCATTATGCTGAGTAATCTCAGAAATATAACTTCTGTTCTAAAGTTGGCATAATTTCCTGGGACTTCATCCCAAATTATAGTAGGTCACTTAAATGACAGCCTTGCCTACTAGAAACTATTAAACCAGTTGTAATTACAAAGGGTCGTTGGTACAACTGTGTTCTTCTCAGTGATTCAGTTATATTTACTCTTCTTTCCTCCCCCAGCCAAGATAGCCCCTGCCTGACCCAGATACAGGAAAGTCACCAGGTTAAATGAGCGTGTTGTTTGAGTGAGGCCAGGTGCATTTCTTAACCACTCTAAAGCCTTTATTTAGGTTGTAAATGGTCAGTTGGTTTTCTCTTAAATGCTATTGCAAAAAGCAAATAAAACTTAGAGCAAAATGTACGCTAAGAATAAGTCTTAAGGAAAAGATCTGGTTCATTTTTTACACTCAATGCTAATTTTGCTGGAGAATGGAAAAATTTCACTTTGGATATGATCTTTGGGTCCATGTCCATTGTTTAAAAGACAGTCTTAGAAGTTCTTCCACAGAAAGACTTGACCAAAATGAATTCCCATTTATCTGTCCTAATAGATGGGGGCAGTAGTAAAAGCAATACGAAGCATCTAGTAATGCAGTTGTATCTTGTGATGTAGTTTTATCTTGTGCATTATATTCTTTCCTCTGTTATTTTAATAATGAACACAGCTCATAATAATTTCTGAATATGCATGATACTACCAGGAAAGTTTATAGGACAACATGCCTTCTAGGTCACCAAAAGCCAACCTGGGGCTGAACTTTTTCTTTATGTAAGTCAGGAATAAACGGAGTAGGCTATAATTAGAACACTTTTATTAAAACTATGCAAATGAGGTATGCTTTCTGTCTTTGGCCTAAAGAAAACATTGCTAAATATACATATAAAAGATGTTTCTTCCATTGTCTTCTCCCTTCCTTCCTTCTCTCTATTTTTCTTTCCTTTTTCTTTCTTATTAGATTTTATCAGAATATGTGTTGGGGGAAATCTAGGTTTATAAATTAAAGAAATGGTTATGATCTACTAAAGTAAAAAGCTATTAAAATATGAGGGTGCTTAGAGGGATGAAGTTATAAAACTATGTTTAGGTCTGTAAGTTTGATTTTTTTTTTTTAGATTTTTTTTTTTTTTTTTTTTTTTTTTTTATGCAAGCACTGGGTACAGTCAGAAGCACGGGCGGGTGAGAGAAGTCACCAGAGCCAGAGCGGGGAGCAGAGCAGGCAGAAGGACCAAAGTACACTGCTGAGGGGCACAGCGGGCGGCAGGAGAGGTCTGTGCGCCATGTGGGACCCTCCTCTCATGGCTGGGGAGCAACCGGGGATCGAACCGGTGCTGCAGAGGCCGCAGGCAGCCTCACAACCCAGCGCTCAACCGCTGCGCCACCGGGGAGGCCCAGGTCTATAAGGTTTAATATCTGAATAAATTCCTAAACACATTTCATCTATATGCATTAATAATCATACCACCAAAAGTGAGTATTTAATAGGTAGTCATTACATAGTTTTTGTATTTTATGAAATGAGTGTCTCATTTTCTCTTAGTGACTATTATTATTTTAGTAGTTTTATATATATAGTCATAAATCAGTGGGCACACATGAGAGAAACATTACTTAGATCCTGCACTTGGAGTGTAGGATGTTTTGTTTGTAACTTTATTAATTTCTAGTGTAATTTTAGTAAGTTTTCTGCATACATAGACTGTAAACAACAGTTGAACTATAAACAAATTAACGCGTCAAAACCAAAAATTGAATGCACTTGATAAGTCAGCATATGAACAGATAGAAAACTCTGGTGGTGCTGTTCTCCACCAGTTTTTCTGTGCTGTAGTGTCTGCTGTCTACAACACAGATCAGAACCTTCAAGAAGGCCAACCTGGGCCCAGACTGACAATTAGCATTCCATTCCCTCTCTCCACCTCATTACTTCTTCAGTCCCTTCCACAAACAGTCGACTTTTTTTTTTTTTTTTTTTGGTAGTATTTTTAACAAACATAGATGCCTGGTCTCCCAAACTACATTCAACCCTTGCAGCATTTCAAAGAGGGTAGTTATTGCTTCAAGAAGTCAGAGCTCCATTAAGAAGTGACAGCCTACTCAGTGAAGGCAAGGACAAGGTCATAAAAAGCGTAAGTCATTAACAGAGGAACCCTAAAATGCAGCTGCCCGAGACCACTTAAGTTGAACCTAAGTACCCAAATATCCCCATACATTTTAGTGGTCCCAGGGTACAATAATTGGGTTTAATTTATACCGAGAAACAGATGTTTTGTTTAAAAATAGTAGAGATGTGGATAAACTATTTTTAGAAACATTGGCATTTGAAGAATAGATTTTATTTATCTTGAAAAGTCTCTTAGGAGCAGCTGGTTCTTAATAAGTTTGGATAAATAATGTGTTTCTATAGAGAGTGAAAAGAAATAGCCCAAAGGTGCT